TTTCCTAGCAGAGGCACAGCCCAGGGTCCTGGTGGAAAGTTGCGAGGCCTCCGGTTTCGTATTACATCACTTAAAATTAACAATACAAAACTGAGCAAAAACCAACTAGTAAAATTCATACAATCGAAGAAAGCTTGAAAAATCATGGTTGAAGTATCAGAAATCCCTCTGCAGGAGAAGCAGTGCGATCCAGCAAAGAGTGCTGTGGTATGTGTGGTGTTATCATCAGGCTGCAGAGTGCTCAGGAAAAGCGGCCCCAAACATGTTACATAACACAAATGGACTCTTGGGAACTGTCAGAAGCTGGAATTTGAACTGTTTCAGCTGAGTGATGACTGTGAGCTTGTGTGTTAAACATAGATGCGTAAAAGATATATTATTAGTTGGTTTTTTTTGGTTTCACAATAACTTATTTTGTGGTGTATTTTCAAAATGCTTCACACTTGAAAAATGTCAGTATTACACAGTTCACAATTATGAAGTGAAAGGTAATGCGGGGGTGGCCATCTGGTAAGATAAACAATTCAGGCAGGAAGTAGTAATGAGGAAAGAGGCAAAACTCTTCCAAAGTTCATTCAGGAACAGCTCAACTAACAGCTCAAAGAATACAAAAGCTCTGCTTCAGTGAGTACTGAGACTGAAAACCCAGCAGTGCTCGATGGGGAGTCAACATATGGAGGAAACAGATTAGATGATCCATTAAAGGCTCGGTAATTCTCATATGTTGTATTTGTTCTCGTTTCATGTGCACAAGGTTAAATGTCCATGTATAACTCATCACACAAAAATAAAAACAATCATGTACTACACATTTTAGAATCTAAAGGGCAAGAATGAAAGATAGGTAAAGCTTGGATACAAGTATAATAATGAGTCGAGTGAGGACAGAATTAAAGATATAGTTTTGAAGAAGCAGTACAAGAAAGGCAAGCTAAACATGTTTTTTATAAGTATGCCATCTCAATGACTGTATCTCCACTTTTCAGCATTTTTGTGTTTGACTACCTCCAGATTTTATACAGAATTTATGATCCTGCTTCTGGTTTTCTTTGGAGTGCCACATGGAAGAAATTATTCTTTCCCTGTCGAAATTTTTTGTTTTTTGTTGTTTTTTGTTTTGATTCAATTCAATTCAACTCAATTTTATTTATATAGCGCCAAATCACAACAAAAGTCGCCTCAAAGTGCTTTATATTGTACAGTAGATACAGAGAAAAACCCAACAATTATATGACCCCCTATGAGCAAGCACTTTGGCAGCAGTGGGAAGGAAAAGCTCCCTTTTAACAGGAAGAAACCTCCGTCAGAACCAGGCTCAGGGAGGGGCGGGGCCATCTGCTGTGACTGGTTGGGGTGAGAGAAGGAAAACAGGATAAAGACATGCTGTGGAAGAGAGACAGAGGTTAATAACAGATATGATTCAATGAAGAGAGGTCTATTAACAAATAGTGAGTGAGAAAGGTGACTGGAAAGGAAAAACTCAATGCATCATGGGAATCCCCCGGCAGCCTACGTCTATTGCAGCATAACTAAGGGAGGATTCAGGGTCACCTGGTCCAGCCCTAACTATATGCTTTAGCAAAAAGGAAAGTTTTAAGCCTAATCTTGAACGTTTTGGCCTTTTAAGGGTGGAAAATGTTACGTGTGGAACACAAACACTGTTAAATCGTAAAAACGAGTCAAACTACCAAAACGTTTGTAAAGTGCCCACATTACAGGTTGTTCCAAATATTGGTGAGACTGTCAGATGTGTGTACAAAGCTGCAAACAGAGCCTGTTTGAATCCTATTAATAAAACTATACTGGTTTTTTAAATGCTGGACCATAAATCTTGCATCATATACACATGCCATTTTTCTGTTAACTGCGCTCCCAATGTCTGTGATCATTATTATTTAGAAACTAGTAATAAAGGATTATGGCTTGTTATGTGTCCTTAATTAATTACTTAGCATGCATTACGAGAATGCTAGCATTTTATGGCCACAATCACCTTCTCTGTATTAAAAACTTTTATTTTTAATTTAAGCACGTTTTTCTAAAACACAAATTAAAATTGGCATTTTACTTTAGCTGTTTAGCTTAATTTAAGCGTAATTATTGAAGACTATTTTGCTGATACTCTTTGAAATGTCTGGTGAAGTGTCCAAGTGTTTCCAATTTTCTACTTTGACAGTATAAAAAAGGTGTAACAGCCATAATCTCTGCTGTGTTTGTGCTATTATGGTTGTATTGTTTTTGGTCATAGCTTTGCCACTGCTGGAGGGAAAACAGTTGTAAAGCAAGAAACTCGTTATAGTGAAGCGAATCTGACTGATAAAAGTTCAAACTGCTTTTTAACCCTCTCACTGTTGCTTTATGCTAGTTTTTTTCTTCTTCTATTTTCTAATGTTCCTCTTTATTTTACAGGTAAATTTTGATGAGGCCTCTAATAACCTTACTGAAGAATATTGCTGGTTTAGGTGGAATTTCTAACTACCTGATACAGAGGCAGGTTATATTGTCAAGTGGTTTCCCAACTCAGGATTTGGACCTCTAAAAGTGTCAAAGTCAGATTAATGTAGTGGAGCAAATACATTAAATATTTCACCAAAATGTTGTGCTGTTTAATCATAGTGACCACAAAAAGAAGGGCCATTATAAGGAGTGTGCATGAATTTAAAAAAGCATCTTTCCCATATATATTTTAAAAGTATCATGATGTGACTGTCTAGTCAATGGTCTCTCATAGGTCAGTCGTGTATAGGAAGAGAAACTGTGTGGAATGTGTAATCACCCTCCTCCACCCTGCAAATCCATGCACACAGTCTCACATTGTTTACTGTGTCTCCAGAGAGTTCAGGACAAAAATGCTGGGGCAGACATTCTCCGACTGACTGTGCTCTCTACTTAAAACACCACGCTCTAGTTACACAATCAACAAGTGATGGTGTAAGTTACATAAAACTGTGCATTTGTGCGCATGCGTGTAATTTGAAGCGCTGATGTGAGGAAACTCTTTCTGGATGTGGACAGTAAAAAGCAAACTTCCTTATCCTGATTGTGTTTGTCCTCTGTTTACTTGTAGCGGGATAGATGAAGAGAAGATATGGAGTTGATATACAAGGTTCTCGGCTTGGAGTGGATAGATGGCAAAATTATTTTAATATTTTTGACTGTTTCTCTACTGTTGACAGATTTTCTGAAGAACAGAGTGCCAAAAAACTTTCCTCCTGGACCCTGGGCTCTTCCTTTCATTGGTGACCTTCATCGTATCCAATCTACCAGACTCCACCTGCAGTTAACAGAGGTATGAGTCCATTCCTAAATAAAATTTAAAGTTATTATATTATAATAAAATTAAAAAACATTTGAAAATTGAAAAAAAACCCCTTCATTAAACCATACAGAGTTCACTTGCAGCTGACTGACTAATAATAAAAGCAGAAAAACAATGTGAAAGGAAACAAACATGTGAAATGAATCACTGGAGTGCAAGGAGGCATAATTTACACCGAAGTAGACAGAGTCGTTATTTAGCTTGTATAGAAATACTTTGTATTTGTATTGCATTTGGCTTCCTCCTGTGCCCATGTGGGTAAAGTGAAGGGTTCAATAAACCTAAGAGGTTCATTGATCCCTTCACTGAACTGGTATTTATTGCTCACAAGTTTAGCTATTTAACTGAATATTAACTTAAAGGCCTCATTACAGGTAGGCTAACACCTGATATAGTGACATTTTCATAACTATAGGAACTTGTCTTAATGCCAAAGCTGTTCTGAATTCCCCACTCTGCTGAATGCAGAATGAGAATATTTTATTAATCTCAGAAGAAATTAACTGTGGCCTACTAACTTACAGCAGTTCTGATATTAAGTAAAAAACCACCAAAACCTTTTTCTTATATAAATTGCAAAATATGAATATATATAATATATACTACTCCTACTTTCATCTCCGTAATAATAACCGCCTTCGTCCCTCACTCACTCCACACAGTACCACCATACTTGTCAATGCTCTTGTCACATCTCGTTTAGATTACTGTAATTCTCTTCTCTATGGTTTACCTTCTTAATTTCTCCATAAATTGCAGTTAGTTCAAAATACAGCTGCTTGTATTATTTCCAGAACTAGATCCACTGAACATATAACACCTGTTCTTAAACAGCTCCATTGGCTTCCAATTCACCTCCGTGTCAATTCCAAGATCCTGCTTCTCACTTACAAAGCGCTTCGTAACCTAGCTCCTCCATATCTATCCGATCTTCTCCATACATGCTCCCCCCCGTACACTCCGCTCTTCTTCAGCTTCCCTTCTGTTGGTTCCACCTGCTCACCTGACTACCATTGGACTCAGAGCCTTTAGCTGTTTTGCCCCAAGACTTTGGAATGCACTTCCACTTGTTCTCCGGATCACACACTGTCTCACCACTTTTAAATCATGTCTCAAAACTCATCTATTTAGAATTGCATACACCTGATCTGTCTTAGTCCATTTTTACCTGCTCAGTTTTTATATTTGCCTTCATACGTTTATGACTGTTTATGTCTAAATTTTATTTTACCATGTTTATTATATATACATATATTTTTTAATGTTTTTTTATGGTATTGTTCACGTGTTATTGTAAGGTGACCTTGAAGGCACCTATAAATAAAATGTATTATTGTTGTTACTATTATTATTATTATTATTATTATTATTATTATTATTATTATTATTATTATTATTATATATAGCCTCCTCAGAATGTATCTTGCTCCAAAAACAACAATATACTGTCCTGTCTGTGTTCAGTTTGCAGAGAAATATGGAAACATTTTCAGCCTTCGACTCTTTGGTGGTAGGATTGTGGTCGTTCATGGCTACAAACTTGTGAAAGAAGCCCTGGTTCACCAAGGAGAAGACTTCGTGGATCGCCCAATTATACCCTTATTTGAATCAATTATTGGGAATAAAGGTAGTGTTTGCATTTTTCCCTCCAAAATTCCAAAAACTTGATTGAACTGATCACATCAGGTCTAATTTAATTTTTATTTCCAAAAGGTCTTGTGATGTCAAATGGTTATCCCTGGAAGCAACAGAGGAGATTTGTTCTTCACACATTCAGGAACTTTGGTCTGGGGAAGAAGACCCTGGAGTCATCCATCCAGCAGGAGTGCCAGTATCTCACAGAGGCTTTCACAGATCAGCAAGGCACAAAGAAAAAAAAAACAATATAGTTACATGTTATCTATGTTTAGTATGTGTGATTATAAAATGTAAATATAATTCACCATTGCTTACCATATGACATGTTTATAAGGTTCACAGTACTAAAGCACATGGCCTAAAAGGTTTCCTTAATAATTGTCCCACTTTTCTTTACTTGTAGCTCATCACCTGATTTATGCTTTAACAAGGAGTTCTAATCAGAGGCCAAACATTAAAAACAGCACCCATTCTGTTTCTCCACTTGTTGACATACATTATATCCTGTTCATTTGATTTTAGTTTTATTGATATAGCTCCAATTCTTTGTTAAGATTCACAATTATTTGCTGAAATGTTCTGAAACACTCGGGACATTTCCCTAATCCTTTACACCAAAG